CCGCTCGTTAGGGCCTTCGTCGGAACCACATGTATCCCTCTATCCCTGGTCATGGCTTCAGACAAATTCATACGATCCACCTCTTCGGCCGCGGGAGACTCAATTGGAGTGGGCGCAACTATCTTCAATCCGCTTTAACTTTGGTCTCATTGGTCCTAGGAAAATTATGTGGAGCTCGCAAATACAAACATCGCCTCCTACAATAACGTACCAGGAAGCAATGGCAGAAGATGACCGCGGGCTCTACAAATGGCTCAACCATGTTGTGTGTGCCGTCCTGTCTGCTTCCCTCGGTTCATATATAGAGGTTCCCGTCAGGACCACTTTGGGATGTGCTTCATATCTGGTGTCCCGCCGACTCCGGAAGCTACCGAAGAACTCTCTCAACGCATTGCGTTTATACGGGAAACTCAGTGTATGCTTTCTCGTTCCTTCCGTTTCAGCACTTGCATTAACTTGAACCTTCAGACGGCAAATTTTGGGACTTCACTTCTGACTTGGCGAGGGGTGACACAGCATATACCACACTCGCACTCGGTGCGCACACGGATAACACTTATTTCGTGTGTTGCTTTACCATAGCGCTACTTGATATTGACATCCATGCCACGATTGCAGACTGACCCTTGCGGCCTTCAACTATTCCATCTACTATCACACACCCATGGCTCTGGAGGCTCCACATTACTTGTCGATGGTTTCCATGTTGCAGCAACTCTTAAGAAGTTGCACCCCGATGCATACTCTATCCTGTCTCAGACGCCTGTTCCTGCCCATGCTGCCGGCGAACCATCTGCTCTCTATCAGCCATACCCGACTTCTGGATATCCGGTGCTCAGTCATGATCCTGTGACTAGAGAGCTTACTCAAGTGCGATGGAATAACGACGACCGAAGCGTCATGAACAATCTAGATCCGCATCAAGTCGAGGAGTGGTATAATGCGATCCGGACGTGGCAAAAACTCCTCACAAGTGCAGACTTAGAATACTGGGTCCAACTGAGTGCGGGGACCGCCGTCAGTGCGTACAGCCCTTCCCCTCTGTACTTCCCCCTATCTAATCTGTTTGGCAGTCATCGACAATCACCGTGTTCTGCACGGGCGCTCTGCTTTCACAGGGAAACGCCGCATGTGCGGCGCGTACATTGGCGCTGACGAGTATCGTTCTAAATTGGCCGTTCTGCGTGAAAAGTTTGCTTCTACCACTTCCGATTCCGAAATAGCCGACCGAAGTGTTTGGAACCCTGCACTATAATCATCTCTGTTCCGCGCACATCTCGAATGTACCATCACCATCTACTTGACTCTCCACATGCTTGCACCAAAGCTAAGAACGACCCTGTATATATATCTAATCATGTATCCCGATTCACAATTCGGGTGCATTTATTTGATGCGACAGACTGAAGGACGAAAAGAAGATTGCAAGGTCCTACTTGATACAATGGAGGCACTACGAGAACAATTCGATACTTTTATGTTCATGTCTCATTCGATGGCTCCTGCCTCGGAGACTTTGATCTCCTTCAAGATGAAACCTTCCAACCCTCCGCATACCCACAGCTCTTGTACGCTTGTGCCGACCGGTTTGACGGTGTATACCTTTTCAGTCAAGCTTGCGGCGCCACCGTCTGTCTTCACTACGACACAGCCGTCCGCCATCCCCACGACGACATTGAGTCCCCCGTCCACGGTCAGCTCGCCACTCAGACCACCAGCACCTCTCGTACCGGCCTTCGCATAGTCCCGAGTTAGATCTGCTACGAGCTCCGGGCATTCTAAGCACACGAGCCCATTGTTGATCGCGTTTCGCTTGAATATATCACCGAACGACCCTGCGATCACCACCGGTATCCCCGCCGCCTTCAGTGCTGTTGCGGCCTGCTCCCGCGACGATCCCGTGCCAAAGTTATAGCCAGATACTAATATTACACCCTTACCAACCTCGCTGGCGTTCGGAGAGAGCACCGATTTTTGCGACAAGGTGGCTACGAGCGCCGCAAAACCTGGGTCGTAGTTTTCCATGACGACTTCGGCCTGCCGCTGAAGGCTTATGTCGTCCTGGTACGTATATTTCCCCGGATATATGGCGTCCGTGTTGAGGTTGTCCTGCGGTGCGAACAGCAATGAGCCGACGAAAGCTTTGGGGAAACCGGGCAAGACGGGGTCATTTTCCTGTGAAGTAGGGGTGGATGCGGACGGCTGGTTCGAGATGGAGAACGTGGGCGCATTTTCGGGTGGAAGGGTAGCAGGATCAATCGAGGCTGGGCCACAGATGTAGCCTTTCATCGCGCTGGCGGCGACAACAGCCGGACTCGCAAGGTAAGCTAATGCCTTAGGGTGGCCCATCCGTCCTTTGTAGTTACGGTTCGTCGCGCTGATGCCTGTTTGACCTTCCTCCAACAATCCGGTACCCAGCCCAATACATGGGCCGCAGCCAGCGGGAAGGGCCTTCGCTCCGGCCCGAATCAATGCGTCCCAGTCCCCTAACTGCTCAGATTCCAGCTGGACGGCGGAACTGGCAGCGGCGATGTAAAAATCGACACCAGGAGCTACCGTATTTCCCCGCAGCACAGAAGCGGCCGCGGATATATCGGAAACTCGAGAATTGGTGCAGCTTACAAGGTAAGCCTTCTGGATCGCGACGCGAGATTCTTCGAGAGTGGGAAGGGGAGTTGATATTTTGACGCTGTTAGGCCCAGATACATGGGGAACAAGAGTGGAAAGGTCGAATATCAAGTGCGAGGAATACGCTGCGTCAGGATCCGACTGCAGATTAGTAGCACGGAGGGCGTCGAGGCGACGCCGATGGATACGAGGATGCTCCGGGGGAGCTGGGATTAAAGCTGCCAACTCGGGCGACGAAAACGTCCGAAGCTCGAGTTTGGCCAACATGCGGTCGTACCACTGAAGTAAGGTTTCGTCCACCGGGAACACGCCGACAAGAGCACCCCACTCCGCAGTCATGTTGGCTATTGTAAGCCGCTCGTCGACGGATAGGGTCGCTACTCCGTCACCTGTAAACTCCAAGGCTGCGTTGAGAACCTCGTCGTTGCTGAAGGAGCTGCACAGGGCAATGATGACATCTTTGCCCGTCACACCAGAAGCAAGCTTTCCTTTCAGCTCGACTTTGACCATGCGTGGGACTTGCCACCATGTTTTGCCAGTTGCCCAGAGAGCTGCAGCGTCCGTGCGAACGATAGGCGTCCCCACACATCCCACACCACCATACATATTGCTATGACTGTCGCTAGCAACGGTGAGTGTGTGCGGAAACGCGTAGCCTTCCTCGACTAGAATCTGGTGGCCGATTCCGCGGCCAGCAGGATAAAAATCAATTTTGTGCTGCCGGGCAAACTCCTCAATGGAGGCGTATTTCGACATGTTTTTTGCGGAGCGGTTCTGTACGTCGTGATCAAGGGTGAACACCGGCTGCACAGAGTTCTTGACTTGCGTTGCACCGATCGATTTGAACCTAGAGATGTAAATCTTCACCCGAGCCCGAGACGCATAAGAACACACTTGGTTATGACGGGGCCAGTGTTGTCGTGGGTCATAACATGCTCGGGGCATATCATAACATAGTCCCCTGCTTTGACCACCTTGCCTGCAGGAAGCCCAACTGCATACTTTTGAACGACCTTTTCGATAATGGTCTGAGGTACGCGCGGGCCAGCCCCAACCGTGCTCGCGAAACCGCGAGCTCTGGCCCAGCGACCGAGGCGGAGAAGATGCATTGGAGAAAACGGCCGATAGACGTCACGGTTTCGGCCGACGGCATCTAACCCCTTACGGCACGGCCGATCAACCGGCCTCCGTCGTTGTCACTCGCCCGCCTCCCCGCCTTCCATCCCGCCAACAGGCTGCATCGCAGTGACAGCGCCAATGCACTGTCGACGTTCGCCGATCGTGACCCTCAACAAACAGAGTGTATCTGCAGACCATATCTGCAGACCACAAACTTGAAACCACCTTGAAACCGCCCTTGCTCGTAACACCTTTGCCACCATGATTCCGTCGGTGACCCACTTTCCCGAAAACGCGACTGGCGCCTGTTGACTCGCTCGCTCGATCTCCTGTGCGGACGGACAACGCTCTCATCCCATACACATCACTCGGCAGGACCGCCACGTCAAGCTCGTAATCTGAGGTCCTCGCACTGACGAGGGATCATGGCCTGAGTGGATCGTCGGAGATCTCGCCTCGTTCCATGGCATCAGCTCCATGGCCTCAAACAAGGACTACCAAGCTTTGTTTCTTTGCACGTTTGTCTGCCAGTTGCGGAGCATCGAGCAGAGATTCTCTCTCTGTCCACTGCTTCAGCGCTTCAGCTCGTGGATCGCATCGTCCCCTATTCAAGCTGCAGACTTTGATACCAGTCGACGCTATAACTCCGATCATAAAGTATCTGCTCGCCTTCAACTATAATTCAGTATTTCGGTCGATGTCCGCCCATGTCAGTATTCCGGCCGCCAGCCCATCGGGTAATGTCCCTCACGCCATCTGGCCGCAATGACATTCTAGTCGTCCAGCTATTCCACTCTCTTCCCAGCCATAATAGCATTGTACCAGCCTTCACTCGCTAAGCCATTCCGCTCTCTATCTAAACGTAATGGCATTCCGCCAGCTTCTAATGTAGCCTTCGACTTGCACACCCTCTATTTAGCCGTACCGGCATTCCGCTGGCCTGGCATCTTGGTTGCACTCCCTCCATACCCCCCTTCAAGTTCATTCCATTTGTTGCTACTTTGAACTCTCGATTTCCTATTCTCAGTCTGGTGGCGCAAGCATCTGACACTCAATCATCGGTATCTCAAGCGGTATCTATTAGATATCTCATTCCCCGGATAGATATAAGAAACTCGGATACTTCGCCGACAAATACAGATACTGGCATTACTGCACCAACCATTTACATAGCACAGGCAGATCAAGCCAAGCATTAGCGTATTAGAAGACTTTAACTATGACTACAGTTATGCTCTATGAATTTGTTTATGGCGCCGGTGGTGTATCGGTAACATTGGGTCTTCCCACTCGGTTTCTGGCCGGTCACGTGGCCTAGCACCGGGTTCGACTCCCGGCCGGCGCATACTTTTTCGCAAGATAGGATTGTTCCCTTTTTTTACTCCCCACCGAGCACCCCACAAAAACTCCAGACGGAGCACCCCCACCAAAAGTCCAAACGGAGCCCGTAATTCACACGAATGTAAAGTACCGACCGAGCCTAAGTTGAACTCCAAAAATTGAGCCTGAGAAAACTGCCGACCGAGCTTGGACCGAGCCCCGATTTGGGTATGCGCGCAACTCCAACCCGAACCACGATCTGGACTGCATAAACTACAAACAGAGCCATGATTTCAGGATCACAAACTGCAAACGGAACCACGATTTCGAATCTCTCAACTCCAAACCGAACCACAAATTCGGTGTTCGCAACTCCAAACCGAGTCATGATTTCGGGCTTCAGAACTCCAAACCAAACCACAGATTGACTCCACGAAGAACGTAGAAGGCGGAGAAGAGGACAATGATAAGATGGAAACCTAGCAAGTTCAATCCAATTACTGTTACTGGATCGCACACCTAAATTTAATTGCACAGACTCTCGCGAATAATGAAGTAGAAGGCAAAGAAGATGGGTGGGAGGGCGGCGGCGAAATGGAGATGGAGTAAGTTCAATTTCCTTCTTAGTGCGGATAATGGCAGCGCTGACTCAAAGTTTGATATCTTAGCTCGGAGGACCGGTTGAAGAACAAAGTAGAATTCAAGGACTCAGAATCGGAGGAGAACAAGATTGAGATTGAGTAAGTGACATCAAAATTGTAGCGCTGGGAATTGTTGACGATGGTGTTCAGACTCGATCTGACGAGTGCGGGTCACCTCCCGGTCAGAACGTCGAGTTGTTCAACAGGTATGCCCCATTCTGGCTGTTGCAGGAGACTTTTGCTGACCTATTGCGCCGTTGCAGTTCCCCCTTGACTCCGTTAAAGGAGACGCCGCCGATACCTCGTCGGAGTAGGTGCCTAGGAGGAATACTATAGCATACGGGTGATAAGCTACTTAATAGTAATGTTGCGGATTATCGTCCATGGTGCAGAAATCAAAATCTTGTCTACTGCACTCAGTACTAGTTGAAACCGTGGCTCGGTTTGGAGTTGCGAACACTGAATTTGTGGTTCGGTTTGGAGTTCAGAGATTCGAAATCGTGGTTCCGTTTGTGGTTTGTGATCCCCAAAATCATGGCTTCGTTTGTAGTTTACGCAACCCAAATCGTGGTTCGGGTTGGAGTTGCGCGCATACCCAAATCGGGGCTCGGTCGGCAGTTTTCTCGGGCTCAATTTGGACTTCAACTTAGGCTCGGTTGGTACTTTTCATTCCTCTGAATTACGGGCTCCGTTTGGACTTTTGGTGGGGGTGCTCCGTCTGGAGTTTTGGTGGGGTGCTCGGTCGGGAGTAAAAAAAGGGAACAATCCTATTTTGGTACTTTTTCTCCCTCTTTAACTTTGGTTTTTGTGGCCCCCCCAACTTCCTTAGTCTGTTACAGTTTTGGACGGGTCAATGACACAGGACACCCAATGGCACAGCCACGTTTCATTCCGTTTTGGGGCACTCTACGGGTGTAAGGGCAACCACGCGGCCCGAGAAGTCAAGGGTCCTGGCGTGGGGAATCCGAAGGTTAATTGACAGGCCGTGCTACTAAGTACAAGTATAGCGCACCTGGCGTGGGGAATCCGAAGAGAAGAACGTCTGAGGATTCCCACGCCCGGAGCCGCCTAAAATACCTACTGACTAGTAGCACGTGCGCGGGGTGATCGGAGCAACCGGAGTGACGCGCACAGGTCCCGTGCGCGGTCACAGGCCACGTGGTATCCGGAACCGGAGTTCCGGCGGGGTCGCGGGAGCGGGCGAGCGGGGGCGGAGGGGGCGACGGGGGGAGCGGCGGAGGGAGCGGGGACTGGGGCGGAGGTCGGAGCGGAGGCGGGGTCGGGGGCCGGAGCGGAGACCGGAGCCGGAACCGGAACCGGAACCGGAACGGGGGCCGGAGCGGGGGCTCCCCTGACACCATCCCCCCCTTGGAATGTGGCGCCTCGACGCATCGTCCGGACATGGACGTCGGGGTCCCGGAAGGGGAGGGAGTCGAAGGTGGCGGTCGTGATGGCGCGTGGTGCGGCGGGGTACTTCCGGTAGAAATCTGCGACGAGTTCCGGAGCGAAAACGTCGGAGTGTTTAACCCACGAATCATGAGAGGAATTATAACCTTTCCACTGCACGAAATACCAGAGCGAGCCCCACCGGTACTTCGCGTCCACGATCGCCTCGACTTCCCACTCGGGTGGCTCGTCCGGAGCGGCGCCCGGAGCGTCCGGAGCGTCCGGAGCGTCCGGAGCACCGCGGAGGACCGGCGGAGGCTCGTCGTAGCCTGTCCGACCCTCGAAGGGGTCGTCCTGAGCCAATTCAAGCTTGACGACCGGAAAGACCGGATGGAGCTGCGAGAGCCGGGGAGGGAGTTCGAGCTTGTACGCGCCCCGCCCGATGACCTGGAGCACCCGGAAGGGCCCCAAGCGGCGGTGCGCGAACTTAGCGGAAGGGCGAGTGGTCTGGATGTCGGAGGCGTCCAGCCAGACCCGGTCGCCTACCTTAATCTCCGGCGCCGGAGTGCGCCGGCGATCGTAGTACCGCTTATACTCCTCCTTAGCCTTGACGAGCGCCGCCCGGGCTTCGGAGACTCCGGAGGCGATCCGGTCGCGGAATTCGTTAACCGCTTCCACCTTCGAGCGCAGCCCGTTCGGCTCGAACCCCATCCGGGGGAGCCGTCCGGTATCGGTCATGAACGGGACCTGCTGCGTCGACGAGTGGATGTGGTTGTTGTAGGCGAATTCGGCGGCCGGAAGGAGCTCGTCCCAGTCATCCTGCTTGTAGTTAGTGAAAAGCCGGATGAACTGCTCCATCTCCTGGTTAACGCGCTCGGTCTGACCGTCGGTCTGCGGGTGGTACGACGTGGAGGTCGCCGGAGCGACTCCGATGAGGCGCCACAGCTCCCGGGTGAACTCCGCGATGAACTGCGGACCCCGGTCGGAGATGTACTTCTCCGGGGTCCCGTGGAGCTTCCACACGTTCCGGTAGTACAACCGCGCAGCTCCGACGGCGTCCAGGGTCGTGTGGCACTCGTTAAAGTGCGCACGCTTCCCGAGCGCGTCGACGACGACCATCACCGCGTCGTACCCGTGAGCTTCCGGAAGCTCGACGACGAAGTCCACCGAAACCGTGCTCCAGCGCTCTTCCGGAACCTCCGTCGGGTGCAACTCACCGACCGGAAGCTTCCGGAGCGCCTTCGTGCGACAGCACAAGTCGCACGTCGCGACATACCGGCCGACGTGTCGGGACAACTGGGGCCACCAGTAGTTCCGGGAGACGAGCTCCAACGTCTTGAAGCGGCCGGCATGCCCCGCCACACGGGTATCGTGGTGCTGCTCCAAGATCCGGCGTCGGAGGTCGTGATCCCGGGGGACCACGATCTTGCCGCGGAAGTAGAGCAGCCCGTCGTCCACACGCCACTCCGCGGACCGGAGCGACCGGGAGCCCCGGACGTTGAGGGCCTCTCGCGCGGCGATAGCGAGGGGGTCCTCGAGGTCCGGACCACGCGCGAGCGCGTCCCGGATGTCCCGGAGCACCGGACGTTCCGGTCCGGTCACCACTACACCCTCGATCGCGCGGACGTGGAAGAGCTCCGGAGACAGGAGGGTGACGTCCTGGTTGTCCGGAGCCGCTCCGTGGTCCGGGCGACGCGACAGCGCGTCCGGTCGCCCCATCAGGCGTCCGGGCTTGTGGTGGAGCGTGAAGTCGAACCGGGACAGGTACAGCGACCACCGCGCCTGCCTCCGGTTGAGGTTCTGCGACTTCCGGAAGTACTCCAGGTTCTTGTGATCGGTCCAGATCTCCACCGGATGCTGCGAGCCCTCGAGGAAGTGTCGCCACTCCTCGAGCGCGCGGACGATCGCGAGCATCTCCTTGTCGTGGATCTCGTAGTTGCGCTGGACCGGACTCAAGCTCTTGGAGTAGAACGCTACCGGATGCCACTTCCCGTCCGGACCCTCCTGAGAGAGGACCGCACCGGAAGCCCGGTCGGAGCTGTCCGCTTCGAGCCGGTACGGCCGGGCCTCGTCCGGAAGGATCAGGACGGGGTCCGTGGTCACCGCGTCCTTCAGCGCCTGGAAAGCGGTGGCCTCCGGCTCGCTCCAACGCCACGCGGTGCCCTTTTTCGACAAGTCGAATAGGGGCCGGGCGATGTCGGAGAAGTCCCGGATGAACCTCCGGTAGAAGTTCGTGAACCCGACGAACTGGAGCACGTCCGTCTTGTTCTCCGGGACCGGCCAAGCGGCGACTCCGGCGACCTTGACCGGATCCATCTCCACGTGGTCGTGAGAGACGATCACCCCGAGATATTCGATCGACGACTTCTCGAACTCACACTTCTCCGGGCGCAAGTAGAGCTTGTGCTCCCGGAGCCGCCGGAGGACCTCCCGGACGATCTCCCGGTGGCGCGTGAGGTCGGAATGGGCGATGAGGATGTCGTCGAGGTATATCATGACGTCCCCGGACAAGATGAGATCTTGGAAGATGTCGTTCATCATTGTCTGGAAGGTCGCGGGGGAGTTGGTCAGGCCGAAGTACATCACCAAGGGCTCGAAGAGTCCCCGGTTAGTCCGGAACGCGGCTTTCCACTCGTCGCCTTCGCGGATCCGGACGTTGTTGAAACCCCACCGGACGTCCAGCTTCGTGAAGTACCGAGCTCCTTTCAATCGATTAATAAGATCGTTGATCAAAGGGAGCGGGTACCGGTTTTTCACGGTCATCGCGTTGAGCGCGCGATAGTCCTGGACGAACCGGAGGCCTCCGTCCTTCTTTTTGACGAAGAAGACGGGGGACGCCATCGGGGATTTGGAAGGCCGGATCCGTCCGGTCGCCAATCCCTCCTCGATAAACGCGTCGAGCTCGCGCTGCTCGAGGGGAGAGATCGGGTAGACCTTACAGTTCGCGGGCTTCGAATCCGGGACGAGTTCGATAGCGTGGTCCCAAGTCCGGCGCTCC